GGCCGAGCCGGAGCGGGGGCTCGGCGGCTCCGCCAGCCCGGGCGCCTGGATTCCGCGGCCCCGGGCGTCTCCCGAGACCCAGGCGTGATCCCGTTCTCGGCTCCTCTCAGGTTTGAGTAGAAGGTGCACTTCGAGACACGGCAAACGTGGGAAACGTACCGGCCCGCTCTCAAAATGCCCCTGCCAGCAAAAAGCCCTCCGGCGGGTTTCCTCCTGGGGCCCGGCAGCCGAGAGCGTCGGGTGTATCGACACCAGCGTTTCTGTAGCTTCGGCGAACACCTCTTTCATATTCCCGCATTTCTTTTATGAAACAGTGAATGGGATTTCCCCCATTCTCCCCCCCCCCCCCCCGTGACTTGGTTTAAATTTATTTTTTTTTTAAATATAATTTAAAAGGGAGGGGGGAATGTCAGCACTCTAAAGGAGTGCTCACTAGGGGTTAGAAATAATGCACCTGGATAAATAAAACCAGAAATCGTTCAAAATGTGTTTTGAATCTGTAGTTAGTAAGTTTATATAGCTGTTTCTGATCGCCACATCCTTTATGATACAAGTCTGATTTCAGCCTCATGCTTTGCTTATTTGTTTTACTTCTTCTCAGTTAAAATGGGGCTTGCTTTTTTTTTTTTTTCCAACCCCAGATAGTTTCTCAGCTCTGCATGGCCAAGTTCTCAAACTAAGTGGAAAAAAATGAAATGCAAAAACTCTTCTCTTTGCAACCACAAGACAACTGTTTAATGCTGTTTGTTTTCAACAGACTTGAATTTGGGGGGCTGAGCTGATGAGTTCTGCCACCTTTCTTAAAGACAATATGTGGGAGTTTAGCAAGCAGGAAGTTGAGCAAACTTTCCTTTGCACTGCAAAGATTCTTAAAATCGGCAAAAAAAAAAAACCAACAAAAAAAAGATGTGTTTGGGATTCAGCAATACCTGTGGTAGTTTTTGAATGTTCATGAAAGACAGCTGTAAAGAAAGGCTATTCCTTGAAATTTACAGTTGTACTACTGTACAGTGCTTATGTTGTAAGAATTAATAGGCAGGGAGCAATATAAGGAACCATGGTTGCTAAAATATATAGTTAATAAAAATATTTACATATGTGCTTAAAGATGCAGGTTAAAATCAGAGCAATCCTTTATGTGTAAATACATTTAAAATCACACCTCCTTCATAGGCAACACAACTGCTTGCTCTGCGCTTGTTGAGTTACAAATGCTTGGCACTTCCTAAGTGGAAGAGGGTTTTAAAACACGCATGTGTGTATATACACATAACTTTTGGAGAAAAAGATTTTGCCTGATTTATGTTGCCTGTGCAGCATGAATGCAGCAAAAGGAAAATGGGAGGATTCATTGTAAGCAAATGCTTTATCAACAGAGTTTATTAATAAGCTCTTATGGTATTGTTGCTTCATATGACTGCGTTATGTTCAAATAGAAAATCAGGCAACTTTCAGACTTAAGGCTAAGTCTGCTAGCTTGGAAATTAATAGAGGCAAAGCTTATTAATTGATTTTTAACACTTATTAATATAGCTACTTTTAATTCAGGTACTTTTCAAGAGTGTAATGATGCTTATGTATTTAGGGAATGTCAACTTTGTACTTCAGCAGGAGATTAATTCTTATTTATTAGGTAACGTGGAAACCTTTTTTTCTTAGTTGCAGACAACTGCAAATGAGGTGAACACAGGCGTGGTAACAGATTTCTTGTTGGCTATGTGAATACTGACTGGGGAGCACAGGGATGGAGTCTGGCATGGAGGAGATCCCAGTTAAAGTTGCAGTTCGAATCAGACCTCTGCTTTCCAAAGAAGTACTTCATAACCACCAAGTGTGTGTGAGATTAGTCCCAAATACACAACAAATTATCATTGGGAAAGACCGTGTCTTCACTTTTGATTTTGTATTTGGCAAAAACTCAACCCAAGAAGAAGTTTATACTGTTTGCATTAAGCCTCTTCTAGTGTCTTTGACTGAGGGATACAATGCTACAGTGTTTGCATATGGACAGACAGGTTCTGGGAAGACTTACACCATCGGAGGTGGCCACATTGGTAGGTTGTAGAAAGTTTGGGGTTTTTTTTTAAACTGATGAACAGTGTATTTGTGCAAGTTAAATATTTAATACAGAGCAGATGATGCTGCAGAACTTTTAAAGGCTAATGAGAAAAGGTATAGTAAAAAAAAATGCTTCCAAAATTTGTGTGATAATTAAACTGTTCTAAAAACAAATTCTCTATAAATTAGGCTATACCAAAAATAAGAGAAAAAATGCATAAAGTGCTCTTTCTCATTCCCCATTTTAATGTGCAACTTAAACTAGAATTTCTTCCTGAAATTCAGTGTTTTGGAGAGTCTTGCTACATTTATCTTACCTTGAAACTGTCTGCTTTAGCTAATTAGTTGTTTGCTTGCTCATTCATTGCTGCTTTTTTTGAGAGACATTTCTATGACATCATAGAAATTTATGATTTAAGTCTTCCAAATGGATATAAATAGATTATTCTAATTCTCTTGGTAGGTATTAAAATCTTCCTTTTATTTAGAATCATAGAATCACAGAATCATTTAGGTTGGAAAAGACCTTTAAGATCATCAGGTCCAACCATTAACCTAACAGTGCCAAGTCCACCACTAAGCCATGTCCCTAAGCACCACATCTACACGTCTTTTAAATACCTCCAGGGATGGTGACTCAACCACTTCCCTGGGCAGCCTGTTCCAATGCCTGACAACCCTTTCGGTGAAGAAATTTCTCCTAATATCCAATATAAACCTGCCCTGGCACAACTTGAGGCCATTTCGTCTTGTCCTGTTGCTTGGTACTTGGGAGAAAAGACCAACACCCACCTCACAACAGCCTCCTTTCAGGTAGTTGTATAGAGCGATAAGTTCTCCCCTCAGCCTCCTTTACTCCAGACTGAATAACCCCAGTTCCCTCAGCCACTCCTCATAAGACTTGTGCTCCAGGCCCCTCACCAGCTTCGTTGCCCTTCTCTGGACACGCTCCAGCACCTCAATGTCTTTCCTGTAGTGAGGGGCCCAAAACTGAACACAGGACTCGAGGTGCGGCCTCACCAGTGCCACAGGGTGACGATCACTTCCCTCGTCCTGCTGGCCACACTATTTCTGATACAGGCCAGGATGCCATTGGCCTTCTTGGGCACCTGGGCACACTGCTGGCTCATATTCAGCCGGCTGTCAACCAGCACCCCCAGGTCTTTTTCTGCCAGGCAGCTTTGCAGCCACTCTTCCCCAAGCCTGTAGTGCTGTATGGGGTTGTTGTGACCCAAGTGCAGGACCCGGCACTTGGCCTTGTTGAATGTCATACAACTGGCCTCTTAATTCTGCTTACTGTTACAACTTCACTTGTCTTTCCTCTACAGTTATTTAATGTTTTTGTCAGTACCATTGCTAGCCAGATTCTTTAGGTAGTGGATGTCACAATCTAAGGCTGTTCAAAGCTCAACAATTTTAGGTTTATACATGTATTTACTGAATTCATAGTTAGGTGTGAGCAACCCTTTATATTTTTGGTAAAAAAGATTCTTGATATCCTCTATAGTCAAGCGGTTTCCATATTCTTTAATAAAGAACACAAGTTATTTATGGAAGCATTGTCCTATGCTGAATGTTAAAAAAATAAAAACAGAGTTTGGCATTAGTGTTCCATATCTACTTTGAAAAAATAGGAAATTACTGTAAACGTTGGTCATAAATCTTGTGTCACCAAGTTACTAATGGTCGTTGCTGTATTTAAGTGGAGTTTACAGTTTCCAACCCTTGCAATGTCATTGCCAACCATAATGAGTAGGAATAAAGAAGAAACCTACACTGTGAGGAGTATCGATTCAAAGCAGAATCCATAGCGTTCGTAACTTTTGTCATTATAACATTATGTAATTTAGAACTTAACTTTGAATCCTATTAATGGATACAAACAAATATTCTGAACCCCAGAAAAACAAATATTTACAAAAGTCCTTGGGAACACTGAGGTCTTTGGATTCCTTAGTATATTGAGTAGCAAATCTCACAGACTTCTCTCAATCTTCATTCTTTGTAATTTATGCGGCAGGATGACTGCAAGTTTCTGTGACATCTTTGCTTATATTTTAGCATCAGTTGCTGAGGATGAAAAGGGCATAATCCCACGGGCTATTCAGGAATTATTTCAGCATATTTCTGAAAACCGTAACATTGACTTCCATGTGAAAGTATCTTATATAGAGGTTTACAAGGAAGAACTTCGGGACTTACTGGAGTTGGAGACCTCTGTAAAAGAATTACATATCCGAGAAGATGAAAAGGGAAATACAGGTAGGATTTCAGCTCTAAAATTTGGTGTGTTGTGTTTCAGTTGTGTGCCCAAGTTATTCTTGCCTTCTCTTGAAAGAGCTTATTCATTACTAACACTAGAAAAAAAGTTAAATTTTCAGAATATAAACTCAGTTTAGCTGATTTGAAGCAGTTTCGAGTTTAGATGCCTGTGAACGATACAGATGTTACATCAGAAATGGCAACAAATGATAAAGTAGAAATACACTTATTGCTTCCGCAAATTCTGTCCAGGAACACAATAATGTGTGATTATTCACTTGAATAAGTATTTTAAGGTTAAACCTTTGCTTCTCCCTTCAAAATTATAATCGTTAAGCCACTTATACTGTAAATATCTGCCCCCCTTTCACTATGAAATG